TTAGAATTAACTCTTTTGAGTGCAATCTAAAACAAAACAACTTTAGCTGGATGTCCTAACATAATGTTAAGTGTGTTGCGGTCAACTGTAGTTCATTATGCACGGGCCTTGAGCAGATCAGGGGCCCGGCAAGGCCACATATCTCATGTTCAAGCTCTGAAAGGAGTCAGCTTACAGGACCTCATGTTCACAACGACTTGCTCATCAGACAATAGGCAGGGAGGAACCAACATACAACCCCTCCCCTCCCCCAGAGGTCCATTGTTCCCACTGTCTAGCACTGATCCCTGCGGTGGGATGCTTTCTGGTGAGCCAGCACAGAGTCATTTCAGAGCTAATGAGCGGAGAGCAAAAAGTATGGCCAGACATCGAGAGATGACACTGTGACAGTGAAATGGGCTGTGGCGAGACCCCAACCCACAGCCCGACTGGATTACTATACATTCCCAATTCCTTGATGAAACTGGGGCAAATGTGGTCGGTGTAAATTTAATCACCCAATGTGAGGGTTTAGGCTTAAACCTATATCTAGGCTAAGTTGGGAGAATGCATCATTTTGGCATTAGATACTGAAGGCGTGTAATCTTTCATAACATGCCGTGAGACAGACATTTGCTTTATGAGCAAATATAGAGTTCAGGTCACAAGTCCTTAGAAACCATGCAGTGCCTATCAATGATCTGTGGGATCTAAACTTAAGAGGATGTTGTTTTTGATCTACCCAGGCTGCAGTACATACGGCAGAAATAGCGATCACAAATCCATATGTTTGTCCAAAAGAGAACCAATTAACACCATCTTAATCCCACAAACATGACAAACCTGGTTCAAAATACAGTTTCTCAAGAATGTGGGTGACAACAACTTGTGCAAAACTTGGCATCACAATGCCCAGATGTTGTGGGTAGTAGTTGCCAGAATGATATTGGTACCAGAGGCAGTTCCTGGTTAGGATCGTGGAAGTGAACCGGTGTTCAAGAACCAAACGGTAATGTAACAGATGAACTTTGTACTTCATGTGGCTGGATAAATAGTCTAGAAGATTTTTTTTAATCTGAACAAGACATTTTATTAAAACATTTTTCCACTCTTCTCCACCTTCTAATACATTTGGTTCACAGTTCTGACATGGCTCAGTTCTCAATCAATTGAAGTCCAAGGGATTTAGCTGCCTTTTCTTTATTTTTCGCCAGGCCAAAAAAAAAAAAAAAAAAAAATACATTATACGGCTAAAAAGTAAGCATGCCTCTCCTTATTAAGCCATCATTATTTCTGTAACATTATGTCGCAAACAGGGTGCAACAAAAAAATGCACCAATGTTTAATGCATAGGCTTTGTGGTTTTGAAATAAAATGAGCAAAAGTAATAGTGAGACTTGCCGTAGTAAACACCACTAATTAATCACTAAAATCATCTTCCTTTATCACACTCACTTCCTGTGTTGCTACTGCATGAACATGCTCAAATAATGTGTGCTATTTTACCCTTCATGTCAACAGCCATGTTCCAGTTTACAGATCTTTTTAGAACTGAATGACATTGTTCGACTTACTCGCATGAGCATAAAAGACCAGTCTACAGCCATCTGCTTATCTCACTGGCCTTCTGGGTCATTTCTGTATACAAAGGCTGAGACTCCTGTTGACACTCAGATACAATGTAGTTTATGGCTGAGAGAGAAAGCACTTTGCAAATAGAAATAACGACAGTTCCTCTCAGATTTCCGTCTTGTGGGGATCTCAAATAGAAAGCTCCAGTTATTTCTGCAAATCAATCCAAATTAATAGAATGAGGAAGACAACATAGATTAGTTCCATTTGTGAATGGTATTGTCATATTCTAATATTGATTGTTAACAGTATAGATATTTGGCATTGGCTATTGATATTCAATAGTGTGGTTGGGCATGGTTATGGTTATGGTATGGCTCTTAACAATGGAGTCACAGGTCACATTTAAAAAAATATACGAAAAAGGCACAGAATAAGCACAAAACCTGTGGCTAAGCCAGTTAAAATTGGAGTGAGATACCGTGTTAATTTGGGTAAACAATGGAAAACATTCCATTATTTTTCCATTTACCTCCATTTGGTGCCAGAAAAAGTATACACTTTGTATGTAAGTGTTACTAAATGTCGTTTTCGATCGTCAGCCAAAAATTGCACTTCAATCCTCTGATGTATCAAATAAGGCAACACATTTGCATAGCAGATGCGTAAGCAATGCACTGCATTTGAATGCAAATTTGTTGATAAAAAGATGCATTGCATATTTCGTATGGACAAAGTACTGCTAGCAAACAAACTAAATTCATTGCACTGCACAGTTAAATTATATATTTATTGTCATTTAAACAAATATAAAATTCTATAGTACGTAACCCTATAATATATCCAGGTGATAATAAATTAATAAATTCCAGATTAATATATTGTAAACTGCAGCTAGCCATAAAATTGAGTCACGCGATCCAGTGTCCACCTCATTTCTTATCAAGATGCAGCAACAGCACAGAAGTGTGAAGTGTGTTATGTACTACGTAATTAGGTCCCTGGGTGTCTGTGAGGGACCACCATACTGCATCACATCTTAGTAAGACATAAGAGAGAAGATACAGGAAAAAAAAAGAGTGAATGACCCAACTCCTGAATCACTAGAAGAAAATAAGAAGCCTAATTTGCAATGAGAGGACTAATATTCTACAAAGAATATCCTTTGGCCATTAGCCGAATGTCTTAAAGACAGAATTTCAGAGGGTCTTGAGGCTTTCAGTTCTCACATTACAGTGACCCTTCCCCCTCATCAAAGCCCCATGGTTGGGTCTCCGGGGGAGCGATTAACACGGGATAAAACAACACATCTGGTTCTGTTGTTCAGCAGAGCATTGATCCAGATCAGATGCTCAAATGTTGCTTTCTGAATTCCATTTCCGGGATCATATAGGACAGTTTGTCTTGGGTTGAGAATGAGCAGTTTGTGTGCGTTTCAGACAAGCCACAAGGAAATTGAGACAGTTGACCAGTTTCAAACAACACACACAACCCAGAGTGTGTATTTACCCCTCAGTGTAAAGAATTTTACCATGGTTTTACCATGGTGGACTCAATATCTCACAGATAGCACCTCTTTTACAGTGAATAGTTAAAACGGTACGTACGCCAAGGTAAGAGCACTTCTGTATGAACACAAACCTCTCAGTTACTTATTACTCAGCCCATTGGGTGACTTATAAAAAACACTAAGATGAGGTCCACCCAAGCCAAATATGTGTTTAAGGGGGCCTTCCATCACTGGAGGAGTGTGATTACTACATTCTGAAGCTCTGCCAAAAATCTTGCATAATACATAATAAGAGGTTATTTTAATATCACCGCTGCTTACTGCAGTGTTCTGCAGAGTGATCTTTTAAACAGAACAAAGAAGGGAACTGTTGGAGGGCAAAATGGGGGCAAACGTGCAGGACCATCATAGATGCCCCCCACCAATATTTCGAAAAGTGGCGTACAAATAGAGGTTTTTCATTGAACACGTATAACAATGTCCTTCTAACCAAATTCAACACGATAAAGTGATAAAAGAGAAAAGAAAAGTCACAAATCATTTTGTCAATTACTTGGTTTTTGATTTAGGCAGCACAACCCAATGTGAAATCTATCTTTATCTTTATTATCTATATTATACATCTATCTATCTTTTTTATTCTAAACAAGTGCAGGGGTAGGGTGCAGACATTTCCCAGCGACTGACACACAATCAGTCTTCTTTCACTAAGTTGGGATGGAAAGCAGTGAGATCTGAGCAGGAATGCGTCTGAGACGCTCTGCCAAGGGAAAAGGGGGTCAGATGTGGCAAACGCTTACTCAGATGGTGGGACGCTGCCCAGAACAGACCAAACCGAATCAAAAGATTTCAACTCCCAAAACCAACAACATAAAATACCCCTTCCAGGAGTAATTGTGAGTGAGAACTGTTTTCTATGAGACCAGAAACTAAGTCAATGATATATTTTGTCTAATATAGTGTTGCGAAAGGCTGTCCTTTCATGTATCCCTGTTTCTTTACAATAATTACTATCATTAGGCCTATTTATGGCTACAGTCTCTCATAAAAACTTTTAGTTTCTTATAGACCACCTTTCTTATAGACCAGGTCTTAAAAATAACTCTCACTCTGATATTACCACAATGAACAACATCCATATAAAAAACTTTCTAAAAGCGGGTTCACAAAACATAGAAGCATGGCACATAATAGGATATTAAAGTCAGTACCAATAATTATTTTCATGTAATGGTCCAAACAAAAAAAATGGCCAATATTAAAATTCTTTGTCTGAATAAATCATACATAAAAACACTCTAAAATAAAATGCTTTAATACTACAACTGAATTTAGACAATATTATAATGTACAGTATGAAAAGTGGATATGCATTGAGAGATTTGCTACATACATTTTTATTATATTACTTTTGCCATAACTCAAAGGTAAAATTTTATCTTTAAAAATTCTAAATAATACTTTACAAAAAGGATTTTTTTTTATTTATTTCAAATATCAATAAGAAACATGTCTGATTGGTGGCTGGCAGACATGACTCTTAACCATCAAATCATGCATGCCGTTCATAAGTGACTAGTCATTCAGACAACCCACCAACTATCTAATTTTTTAAAAATATATATTTCAGCACAACGTCGTTACTGTTTGCCTTCCCATAATAACTAAGATCTGAGGTTTCAGGGTTGACGTGACAGAAAATCTTCTATGGGATCAAAAATAAGGCGCCCAGCTACCCACAAATCACAGTCACATCTGCAGACATGTTTAATCCTCATGACACCCTGTGTCTGCAGAGACCAGCCGCTGTCTGCCATCTAATACTAATACAACCACCACACACACAATGCCATCTTTAAAAAAGCTTAAGCTCTTGCTTTCTGGTGAACACAAGGAAGTACTTTCCAGTTGCAACAGGAGATGGAGGAATAGATCTTACCTGGTAGTAGCTTTTGATATGTCGGATGACAGTGTTGAGGTTCTGTATTCTCAGGTTGACATCGTTGTTGACTTGTTTGTTCACTCGCTGATTCATGGGGCTTGGGTCTCTGTGGACCAAAAGCAACAAGAGTACATTTGAAAATCTTTGCATAAGCACAACTAGGGCTGAGCTGAATGTTCAACTAGCCATCCAACCTAATTAACTAATGACAACGATTAGTTATATCTACCTATACATGCATACATCCTTATTTTTTTACGGTTTGGTGGACCTAATTATACACGACTTGCTGGGGTGTAGACAACGCTCAAACACATAAACACAAAATGATGTCAAAATACCCATCTCTGCAAGTATTCTCTCGTTTATGTCATAAGTGAAACAGATTTGAAAAAGAAACAGATGTTTGTCAGTTTGTCTTAAGTTGACACCACGGCACGCAACTAATATTTTTACTGCTGTCTGTCATTAATATGAATAAATTAACAAAATACAGCGTTAACAAATATGAAACTATATTTCATTTCAACAGTGAACAAATAATGTTATTTTACATCTAGGCTTAATAATACATTTTTGTACCTGAATGCTAAAGACTTTGTAACTTTGTCATTTAGTATTGATCTCCGCTTGTAATTTGTGTATTTGTTCTTATTTTATTACCGACTATTCACTTGTTTTAAATAATGCGTGACGTGAACTTTATCAGTTAGGCTGAAATGCAAAGTTCTTGCGTCATATAATAAATATTTGTTGATGTAATCTTTCACGTCAACAAATATGTTCCAAATTATTCTGAGATAAGTAATAAGGCTTTCATATCAGTGGATCAGTGGATGCAGAGGCTGATGTCAGTGAGTTGAGTGGTGCTCAGAGGAGGGTCCTCCGCATAGACTCTGTTTGTGCGATCCTCATTTACATTTGTTTTGTGAGAATGGCATGCAAATTCTGCCAGTTGGCCCACAAATTCCCGCTTGCTAGTGAAAGAACCTTAAAAGATCAGGGTCAGTTTTTTCCTCGGCTGTCTGGCTCAACTGTTTTCTATTGCCTCAGGCCAAGAGCACTGCATTGAGTTTCACTTTTTGTGCCGTTTTTACGACCATAGATATAGCAACTGACAGCATGGTTGGAAAAACAATGATTGTTTGGTAAAAGTCGAGGGAAGACTGATAGGGTGCACACAGAGGACATCTGCCAGATGGGAAGCATTAGCATACGAGCTCATTTGCTAACAGCGATGGCGTTTACCACATACCTGCCTGGTGAAAACACTAGCAAAGGTATCGGTTTGCTGCAGGCCTACAAGTGTGGGCACATTATAAATGGATGTGGGTGACGAGAAAGAAGCAGTGCGTACATTGCCCTCAGCATTCCACATATCCATTCATTTGTAATGGTTCAGTGGAAACACAATGGACACCTGAGTAAGTGAATCTTCATACTAACTATATACAAGAACTCATTCTGTTCCAAAGCTCATATATATAACTGACCCGCATGTGCAAATGAAGAATAAAAAGACATCACACAGCACACTGTCATACCGCAGCAAACGCAGAGGACATTAAAGTCCCCGTGAAATCAAAATTTAACCTATTTACTTTGTTAGCGCATATTACTAGTCTTGTGGTGAACAATTAATCCGTGCAAATAAAAATATATTAAAAAAATGTTTTACCTTGGTAATCTTTAATCAAAATCTGAAAAGTTACTTCCGGTCTGGAGCGGTTTCTTTTTCTGATGACGTAGGTTTCACAGCTTGGGTGTGGAAACGCTTAACCACTCCCCTCAAACCGAGAGGAGGAGCGCTAGAGTAAAACCCTGCCCTCTGTTCAATATTCCGTTTCACTTGGAAATACGTCACAGCACTGGAGAAAAATCGTTTGCAACTTCCGGTTCACGGGGACTTTAAAGGAAGTGATTACACGTTTTTTTTTTTTATAGTGTTATCTGCCACTGAAGACAGCAAAATTAAGCACAGGCAATATATAAAAGTTCAGGATGCAAAAAAGAGTTTTTAGACAATTAGTCCTCATGTTTTTCTTGTATGTAGAGCTATCACTTTATGAGTTCTGACACATCACTGTCATTTCACTGACTACCTTTTACAACTATCTTGGTAACATCGGGTTGCTCTTGAGTGACGTAAATGTCGCATGCCAACATGACATCATGACTTTTGCGTAAACAAACATACACGCCACTTTCAAGTCAAGTGGCGTGTTATCTATACGCATTTTGAGCTATCTGCGTGTATGTCTACGCCGTTAAATCTCTACGTTTAGGGATGGGGTTGGGGTAGGTCATATTTATATACAGTAATGTAACGTTAAGTCAACGGCGTTCATAAACACGCTGAAAAGCAATTATGTGCGTTGCTAGTCTGCGCACGCATTGCAAAAAAAATAAAAAATCGGACCTGTATCGGATTTAGTACCACATATGGAAGTGGTACAAATCGGAATTAAAAAGATCAGATTCTATGTGGTTCACACTGTGATGACAAAAACAGATCCGAGTCACATGCGAGCGGATTTGGGCTACATTTAGCTGCAGTCTGAATGTAGCCCTAGTTCATTTTTGGGGCACAACTGTTATTGACTATCTATGGATTCAGGTTTACTTAACGCTGATCAGATGCTTCTTTCTATTATTTCCATTCTTCTCATCTAATTATTGTTTTTGATAGGGAGAGCTTGTATAAAATGAGTTATTGCGGGAAAAAAAGATTGCTGGAGGGAAGCGATTATTGCCCAGTCCTTGTGCCAATGTGCAGTACATATCATAGAAAAAGATGTTATTACAAGGGGAAGGGGGTGTTAATGTTTACATTAAGGATTATGAGCTCATATGGATACAAAAAATGTGCATGGATAAATAATTCATAATAATCACTGCAATATTCCATTAAAAAAATAGAATTTATTTCATGGTGACTTTTAATTCTGCAGGAAATGTCACATAAGGGAAGCAAAATGGGTTGCAAAAGCTGTTTAAAACAACTATGGGAATGAAACCCAATGCAGTAACATGACACGCAGAGAACATGACACCAGGCTACAATAATTTATTGGGAACAGTGACAAGAGTGCCTAAGGACGGCTCATCCAGTAGATGTGTCGTCTTCCTATTAGACATGAAAGACCCCCCCCCCCCCCCCCATTTATAGAGAAAATATTTCCTTTGTCTGAGAAGGTCTAGTGTTTAAGCCCCTGATTAAGACAAAGAGGCCGGCAAGTCTGCCAGAGTAAAAGTAGGTTAAAGGACAAAGCTGATGCAGCGGATTTGAGAAGTCGATAACAGTGGTTTTATAAAGCTCAATCTAGATGCACAAACTTCAGCCATCAGAAGTGTAATGAGCTGACTTGCATGATGCAAATCCTCTCGACGAAGGGATTTCCTTGTTCATCAGCAACACACACAAGAGTGCTGCCAAGTCACCTGTTTAGCTGAGGTTACAGCTTGAGCTAACCAAAACTTCCGTGACCTAACGTTCAGTCAAACGCGGCTACGAATATATACTGCATGCTTGCTAACTGATGTTACACATGACCTCAAAACTCTGGTCCAAGCACAACCCCAAATCAGCCCCTTTATTAACACACTAATTATACAAGAGGAACAAAACTGATGGAGCGTGAAGATTCGGATTGAGTGTCTGCACAGTTGGATGGCAGGCAGGAAAGGATAGGATGTGGTTGCTAATGAAAAAAGATAGGTCCACAAGTAACAGCTGCTAGACTGCAGCATGAACGTACAGCCGCACACACATACACCGTTCAGACTCTGTCACTCACATGTGTGTCATTATCTTATGGAGGAAAACACCATCCACTAAATCCATGAACATAGAGAGCTTGTCTTCTGAATTGGACCCAAGGGGTCCAAAAGTCTTGACCTGGAAAAAAGAAAGAAAGTAGTAAGTAGTAATATCACGACAGGATACATGCACGGCTGCACAATAAATCAACCATGCTTTCTGTTTCAGAACAGAACTGCCGAGTTATTTTAGACATTTGCAAAGAGAAACTTTGTCTGTGCACAGAGTAAATATTGCTTTTCAAACAGTTAACTCCAAAGCCTAAATACAACCATCTTCCCTTACTATATGTGTTTGTTTTTCTTTTAGGGTTATCGATTATCAGCATGGGATTGGGTTAGTTCAACCAAAAATGAAAATTTGTCATTAATGACTCCTTTATGTCGTTCCAAACTCATAAGAGATTCATCTTTGGAACACATATGAAGACTTTTTTAATTAAATCAGAGAGATTTCTGTCCCTCCATTGACAGTCTACGCAACTTCAGTACCATTTTTTTCAAGCCCCAGAAAGATATCATTAGTAACCCATGTGACTCCAGTGGTTTAACCTCAATTTTATGAAGCAACGCGAGTATTTTGTTTACAAAAAAATTAAAAATACAAATTATTTACCACTTTATTTACAAAATATTCATATCTGACGAGCGTTGCAACAACATCTGTTCTCGCGTCAACAACAAGCATGCGTCTTAGTGCTCTTGTTATGTGCTTTGGAGAGTAATATTTTGTAAATAAAGAGGTAAATTATACTTTTTTGTGCAAACAAAGCCCTTGTGTCGTTACATAAAATTGAGGTGGGCCACAACTTTTATGATGTCTTTACCTTTACCTAAAGTGGTAGTTGCATAAGCTGTCAATGGAGGGACATAAAACTTAGATTTCATTAAAAATATATTAATTTCAGTTCTGAAGATTAATGAAAGCCTTATGGGCTTGAAACTACATGAAGGTGAGTAATTCAATTCAAAATTTCCATTGTTGGGTGAACTACCCTTTAAGAAGACAAATGAGTTGGACACACACTGGCCAGAGAAAGCACAGCCAAACAGGACACATGGGTCAAGGTAAGGGGGTAATAGGAAGTTACGCAGGTTTCACCAAACCCGGTCAACTGTCATTTAACTCTTCAAGTAGGTACTGTGCACATAAAAAAAATGTGTTATGCTGTTGTGTGTACAGGTTAAACACATCTAACTTATGGGACATATTTAGAAAAAAAATAATAATAATATTTGTTACATTACATTATATTGAAAAATATTTTAACGCAATATATTTATTTACAGGCTATATTAAAAATAACTATTTAAAACGTAATTCATAAGTTTGTAAATTAAGTAAAATATAAATAAAAACAAAATGAATAAATACAACTTTTATCACATTTTTTTTTTAAATAAATAGGCCAACAGATAAAGAAACACTAATTAAATGTTGCAATAATGTTAAGGCACAATTTTAGGATGCTCATAGACATAGCTACATGGAAAGCATGTTAGCCTCTTTCCAGTAGAGATGATAAAAACATGAAACATCCAGCCCACATTAGTATTGATCAGTTTTGCACTGTCACTGACCACTGCTGAAAACACTATACAACGCAAACACAGCAGGTGCCATCGTGTCTTTGTGACTTACCCAAACCACAAGCGGCGAATCCATGAAGTTAGACATCATTTCAGACACTGTAATATCCATTTTGAGGAGAGGAAACAGCATACAAAATACCCACGCAAGAGTTAAAACTGTTTGCAACTTAAAGTGCGTCTAAAGAAATAAATAAAAAACAAAGTGCGTCGGATTCCTCTAAGGTTTTATGTACTCCACATTACTGTCCGTCGCAGAACAATGCCGGGGAAGCGAATCAACTCCATTCTGGGAATAAAAAGACATTCCTTGGTTTTAAAAAAAAAAGCTTTTAAATGATCCGCAGTCCCAAAAGTGAAAGGTTACAAACACATAAGTTAAGCGCTAAAGTCTACGCGGACTTGCACCATTAAACTATAACTTCTCGCCATTTACTCTCAGCTATTGCTAGAGTTACTTTGTCGCCGTGTATTCAACCTGTACCCGCAGTCCCGCACACGAAGAGCACGGGAGAGTGACATGTTCATAAGCCAATCAGCTGTGCGTTTCCAGCGAAGGGGGGAGGTAAATCAACCAATAGCGGACTCGTAGGTATTAGATTTCATTCAAAATGACGTAACCGACGGGCCAAACTGTTGTCGCGACAACCAAAGGTTAATAACTGTACAGCTCTTTGGCACCCTCAGCAGGTAACACGTATATTTTGGTACATTTCGAAAACTTTGTTTACCACGTTTCCGTGCTTTATAGGTAAACATTTACCTATAAAATTACCCAGGTTGTCCTATGTCCTTAGACATTGGATACAAAAGCCTTAAGTTAACGTTAGCTATTAAAGGACACAAATCGGTAGCGTACGTTAATGTGCCCCCTCAGGTTTTTAGGAGTCAAGAACACGGACTTTTATAAAAAAGGAAAGACCAATTGACTTTATCTTTGTTTTCAGGATTATTGTATGCACATTTTGAATACAAAATAAATAATTTGGGTTAATTACGTATGATTTGTGCACAAAACCGAACCTTGACCAAGATTTGACAAAGGAATAATTTGTTAACACAAGATCACCGAGAAGTTTATAGGCATTTAAAAAGATATTATTACATATCTATAAAAGGTATAAGCATAATGTGAAAATGTCATTCGGCAGATTGAATGCTTGAATACAACGTAAAAATGTAATTTGTGTAATTTTCCATATTTCAGCGTCGTCAGCATCATTGGGCCTTGAGGTGAGTCTTAATGTTAAGTGGACACATACTGTGAATTAATTCTGTCATCATTGATATAATACTTTTCATGCTTCTAAACTTTTCACCCTTATAAACATTCAAAGATGGTCCTTAACAAAAAAAAAAAAAAAAATAGAAACTCTTAAAGATTTAGCAATAAGATTTATTCATCTTATTGCTGGTGATCTAGTGTAGTACAAATATTTTATATTATATTACATTTATTTTACTTCTCACACTCACACTCAGCAGTACTTCTACAGGAAAAGAGCTATATACTGTATTTTAACCATGATTCTTGATTCTGATTTACTTCTGTAAACTACAAGGCTTTAAAAAGACAACAAGGTCAAAGGTTACTGCAAACAGAGTTTATTGATTTTCATACTACCAAAATGAGTCATACCTTGTTTTCAACTTCTTATATGTGATTTTGCATTGAACATACAGATATAAAAGGAGAAACGAGAATGGAGGTATATTAGCGGAAAGGGAGTTCATTCTAAAGTAGACTGCAATGTGTTTAAAGCAATAAAAAAAATAATGAAATATCTGGAGGTCCGGGATGTAGTGGCCAACAACAACAAAAACACCACCGTAATAAAGCACCACGCTGACCCTCATAACACATGACTCTGTAAACGTATTCATATCCAAAACCCAACAGTGTGATGAAATGTACTGATAAAAATAATGTTATTTTAAAACATTACTCGTTTTAGCTTGCATTGCCTGGCAGAAACAGTACATATACTTCAAGGTTAATATATAATACTGAAAGAAACTAAGACTTTGGAAACTGGGTACTTTAATTCTAATCAGAAGATTAGACTGTGTACTAAAGACAACTTACTGTTTTGAGACAACCTTTCAGAAACTTGTGTGACAAATTTGAATGAATTTTTAATTAGTTTGATGTAGATATAGGTATTACGTTTGTATGTGTATGACGTTTTATGATTATTATAATTATTATTATTTTTTAAAGGTAAAATCTCCCTCTACCATTAATTTTACATTCATTTTTGTATTACAAATATTTTCCATGTTTTAAACATTCATTGGCTACCAAGTTTAATTTATATGGCATTATTTAAGCTGTCCACGTTTTTTTATTTATTTTTTTATTATTGTTGTGATGATGTGAGAGATATGTTTTAGTGCTTATAATGTCTTTGCTGCCCTAGTGTAAGGGAATTTTTAAGGTGATTATTACCTGTGACAGCCATACTGGGAAACCTGAGTTATGAGAGGGTAAAACTCTGATGTTAAACATTTAGCACCATATTAAATAAATATATCATTTCACGCTTTGCAAACGTCATATTTAACATAGCTGATGTTTTGAAAAACAAAAAAAGAACTACCCTTCTCATCTTTGTCTTTTCTTTAGTGCCATGACTGTACTAATATATAATAGCATTAATATGTTCACATTTGAATGTAATATTATTATAATATTAATATTCATATGTTTGTTTGAATAGTGAAAAGTAACTTTTACAACAGGTAGGACAGTCTAAAAGAACACTGAACACTGTGCTTATTGCATATAGAGCATGTTAATGCCATGCACCTTCATTACCACACCTCCAGCTAGCTGAGCGCCATTTACAAAAGGAAACGCTTCTCCCGTGTCTCTGTGAAAATTCTATAAGTTCCAATGCAAAGAACACAGTATTACATTTGCAACCATTTTAAAGAAATAAGGCAGATTAACAAAACTATGCATGTTATTTATAGTCAAAATACATACTAAGCATGCCTAGAAGAAACTCAACACATTAAAAAAAGAAGACAAAAAGAATTTTTGACATTTTTTCCTACAAATATTTTTGGTTAAATTTGATCAGGTTCCTGTGCTTTTATTTGTATACAGAGTGAATGTGGTATGTGACTCTAGTATAGGAAAACACAATAAACCATAAAGAGCAAGACATGTGGACATTAGCAATGCCTCATTAGCTTAGATACAGGCAGCAGTGTATTCTACATTTCACATAGCTAAATTCTTAGAAATTAATATAAAGTAAAAAAAAAAAATTGTGTTATAAATCTGTTCCATTTCACCTGCGTCACATTCAGTCCTGGAGTTTATTTCTTCTTAGCGAACAGACTAAACCTCTTCTCCTTGTCCTTCTTGGTTGAGGGGACCTCTAGAGTAGTGGAAGAGGGTGGAGGTAGGCTTTGTGCCTTCACGCCTGATGGTCCTGCAACTGGTTCTTCTGTCAGAGCCTGTGCTGCCTGCTCTATAGCCTGAGTCCAGTTCTGGAGCTCCTCCTGTAGGCAGAGAGACAAAACGCGCATATACCATTGTTAAAATTGTTCACTTGCGTATCTCAATGATTACTCTACAAATAAGGGACTAATTGGAAGAAGCATTCAATAGCTCACCTCATCTTTACACTGGAACAGAAATTCACTTCCATCTTCATGTCTAAGACACCAGGAAATGGAACAAGGATAAAACAGGTAAGCAATGCCTATATGTAATATACCTCACAATCTCACAACATTGAAGTACATTACATTTTGTTATAAACATTGATAACCAAGACCCTTACCGGAGTTTGAACACGTGTTTCCGTTTTTTATAGTTGGTCAAGATCTCGCATGAAGCATTGGCGAGGTTCAGGGGTTCCTCACCATGGTAGGTGACACTGTGACTAAAGCTCTTGGCATCCTTGTAGGCAGAAAGCTGTCCAGGCTTCAGAACACAGTAAAGGTTGTTCCAGGACCTGAGAAAAGAAAGTTTTGAATGAAGTTAATTGGTAATATGATGGCTACTTTCTGTGTTTGAAAATGTATCTTGAAGCATTATACTTAATCATTACAAATAGATTTCTTCTGAAAATGTAAATGCAACAATGCTAGGGTGAATAGTTCTCAGTGGTCATAAGAGCCCAGTCGCTGTGGTTTTCTGGTCTCTAGATATTGCTTGGGTCCTTCAATATATAATGTAGTATTTTTATCTGTTTTAATGTCTGCCAGGAGAAAATTACAAGATTGTTTACTTATAGAAGTAACAATTATCATATCTTCAACTTGCAGACAGCATAATTTGAGGTATTATTCATCTGCTGGCTGAGTTATGTGCTTAAGTTTAATACTTATGGCTAGGGATTTTTTTCAAAGTTTCACCAATAGTAAGTGATACCCCAGAAAACACAACAGCTAACCTGTTGGATGCCTTTTTATTATGTCCTTCCATCTCATGTTTGCGGGCTAGAGTTCCCTCCATCAAGACTGGCTGAACTTGTGAAGATTCAGTGGGAAGTGTGGCAGCTTTTTCTGTCTCTTTGGAAACCTGAATGGATGTGGAAGGGTCCAGCTCTAGTGAGCCACTTTCCTGCATCTCTGAGATCAATGGCATGGTGGAGTCCCCTGCTGTGCCATCAACTCCGCCAGAACTAGGCTCTATTACTCCTAAACCAGACTGAAGACCACATAAGTACAAAGTTCAGGTACAAATGAAGGAGTATTACATTTAATATTTAAAAAAAATATTTTGCAGTACAAAAAGGAGTAACAATAATATTATAGGCTGTATTTACATTAAGAGATGACAATATGAAATGTGAAAGTATATCTGACACGAAGAATGTTGTAAGTATAATGAAGAGAAAAATGGCAAGATTCTAATACAAAATTTAAACTTGCCACTGTCACCAGAGATTGTTCTTCTGTGGGGTAGAGTTGTGAGGACTCCTCTGCAAAACCTGTGTCTTCTCTCCTGGAGGTCAAATAACAACTTTTAAAATGGAATACGAAGGAAGGGAAGTACAGTGTTCCCCAGATCGTATGTTTACCTGCTGTCTTTCTCTTCCTCTTGTCTGTAGTGTTGTATGTCCTGTTGTTGTTCCCGAATTTTCAACAGCTCCAACTACAACGAATTATAAATAGTCAATAACTCTTTTGCATTTTCTGAATTAAATGTGAGTGGTGGCTGCCATTGCAAACAATTCACATGATTTGAGGTATTATTAATGTCTGGAGCACAAAAGTGTGTAGTTTAAAACATGTCAAAGTTAAAAACACACACAACACATACTGTTGTAAGACGTTCCAGTGCCGAGAAACGTTCTTCCCATGTAGCAGTGGATTTCTCAAAGGCTTCATGCCTCTTTAGCAGTTTTTCGACCTCATCCACTGTTTGGCCTAGATCCCTGCTCACCACGTATGGCTCCTGGGCAATCAGCCAAGCCTCTGCCACAGATGCATCCCGCGCAAACTGACATACCTCCAACACTAGAA